CTGGGATCGAGCCCCACATCGGGCTCCCTGCTCAGCAGGAAGCCTGCTTCTCCCTCTGACCCTCCCCCTGCTTGTGTCCCTTTCTCGCTCTCTGTGTCTCTCTCTGTCAAATAAATAAAATCTTTAAAAAAAAAAAAAGGAAGATGTACATGTAACCAATAAGTACACGAAAAAATGCTGAACACATCATTAGTCATTAGGAAAATGCAAATCAAAACCACAATGCGGTATCACTTCACACCTACTAGGATGGCTATTAAAACTAAAACAAAAATAAGGAGTGCTGGTAAGGGCAAGAATACAAAGAAATAGAAACCTTCCTATACTGCTAGGGGGAATGTCAATGGTATAGCTGCTGTGGAAAAATCTAGCAGTTCTTCAAAGAGTTAAACATAGATTTACCACATGAGCCAGCACTGCAAAAGAAATGAAAACATAAATCCACTATTCTGTTCATATCAGAGTCCAGAAAAGGGAAATCTATAGAGATAAAAAGTAGATCAGTGGTTGCTTACAGCTGAAGGCAGGTTGATGGGAAATATGGGGTTAACAGCTAACGGGTAATGGGGTTTCTTTTTGAGGTGATGAAAACGTTCTAAAAGCAACTGTGGTGCTGGTTGCAAATATCTGTGAATATGCTAAGAACTATTTAACGGTACACTTTAAATGGATGAATTGTACAGTATGTGAATTATTCCTCAATAAAGCTGTTAAAAAATAAAAGCTACTGTTACATGTAACAATAAATTGAATTAATAATTCAAAATTTTCCCACAAAAAAATCCCAGGTCCAAATGGCTTCACTGGTTTTTCGCAGGATATAAAATCAATACACAAAATTAACTGTATTTATGTATACTAGGAACAGATCATTCAAAAATAAAATTAAAGACAATAATTCCATTCACAACAGCATAAAGAAGAATGAAATACTTCGGGGAAAAAGCATGAACCATAAAAGAAAGAATTGATGGATTAGCCTTTATCAATTCTAAAAAACTCCTCTAACTCAAAAGACATCATTAAGAAAATGAAAAGATAAGTCACACAGACTGAGAGAAAATATTTGCAAATCACATGCATCTAGAATTTATAAAGAATTTTGCAATTTAATAATAAAAAGACAAGTCAATTTAAAGACGAGCCAAAGTTTTGAACAGTTCATCAATGTAAAGAGCTATTAAGCACATGGAAAGATGCTCAATGTTAAGGAAATACAAATTAAAGTCACAAAAAGATACCACCACACACTCACTGGAATGGCTATAATATCAAAGACACTAACGTTTGCGACAACATGGATGAACCTAGACCCAGAAAGACAAATACTGTATAATCTCACTTTTAGTGGAATCCAGGAGCAGAGAGTAAAATGGTGGTTGCCAGGAGTTGGGGGTGAGAGAAATGGGGAGATGCTGGTCAAAGGGTATAAACTTTCAGCTATAAGATGAATAATTCCTGGGGATCTAATGTACAGCATGGTGACTACAGTTAATAATACTGTATTGCATATTTGAAATTTGCTTAGATCTTAAAATGTTCTCACTACAAACACAGAAAAGGTAATTATGTAGAATGATGAATGTGTTAATTAGCTTGATTATAGTTATTTAACAATGTATATGTATCCAGTCATTCTGTTTTATACCTTAAATATATATAGTTTTTGTCAAATATACCTCAATGAAGCTGTAAAAAAAACCCAACACTAGTAAGTTTCGGTGAGAATTTGGAGAAACTGGAACCTTCATACATTACTAATGAGAAGGTAAAATTAGCACAGCCACTTTAGCAAATGGTTTGGCAGTTTCTCAAAAGTTATCTACTTACCATATGACCCAGCAATTCCACTCTTAGAAATCTAAGAGAAATGAAAATATACATCCACCCAAATACATGTACGACCATACGCAGAGCAGCATTATTCATAATAGCCCAAAACTTAAAATAATCCAAATGTCCACCATCTGGTGAGTGGATAAATAGTACGTAGTATATCCATACAGTCGAATACTACTCAGCAATAAAAAGGAACTGAACTACTGATACATGCTACAACATGAATGGATGAATCTCAAAAGCCTTATGGTAAATGATGCCAGATACAAAAGACTATATACTGTTTGATTGCATTTACAAATCAACTATTCAAAAATCTATAGAGACAGAAAGCAAATTAGTGTTTGGCTAGCTGAGGGTAAAAATGGGGAATGATTACAATGAGTCATGAGAGAATTTTCTGGCGTGATGGAAATTTCTCAAACTGGATTGTAAGCGATGGGTGTACAACTCTATAAATCTACTAAAAATCATGTTTAACCCTTATACATATTTTATGATATGTAAATTATCCCTCAATAAAACTGTTTCAAAAATAATTTTAAAATAGCTAGTAAGCACAACATCGTATCTCCTCCCTATATATTAAACAGGTACAATGTAGGTCCTTTCTGTTCTAATGCGCAACCCTACAGTGGCCCCTACTGGCCAAAAGGAGATTTTGATTAGATGATCACTAGTTGCTTAAAGTTTTTCTATTTATAAAGTATGCACTATATAAATTAGGTCAGAAATAGCTATGGTTTCTTAAAAGAGAAACCATACAAGGATATAAGGTCTAAATTGTGGCCCTTCAAAGAAAGCAGATGATAAAGAGGAAGAACAAAAGGACGTAAGAAGCAGAAGTCAAGTCACTGTCGCTGTAAGAAACCTTGTAAGAATACTTTTTTTTTTTTAAGTTACTCCTTTATCTGACTGACTTCCCCTAGTCAATCCAGGAGCACATTCACAGAAAGATATAAATGGAAAGCCCATTACTACAGGTTAATGATACATAAATAAAATATAAATTAAAGAAGTCATTTGACTTTCACCTTTAGAGGGCAGAGTAGCGTAATGATTAAAAGAGCATGAGCCCAAGAGTTAGCTTGGATTCAAATTTTGGCTTCAACGTTTCTTCACTATGTGACCTTGAGTTTATTATTTAATCCACTGGTGTCTCAGTTTCCATTTTTGTAAAATAGAGGAAATATTTTATCTCCAAGCACTGTTTGGAGTATTGTGGTTTTTTTTTTTTTTAAGATTTTATTTATTTGACAGAGAGAGACAGAGTGAGAGAGGGAACACAAGCAGGGGGAGTGGGAGAGGGAGAAGCAGGCTCTCCGCTGAGCAGGGAGCCCGATGCAGGGCTCGATCCCAGGACCCTGGGATCATGACCTGAGCCAAAGGCAGACGCTTAACGACTGAGCCACCCAGCCACCCCTGGAGTATTGCTTAACTCATAGTAATCATAGAGTGCATATTAGCTATAATTATTATTTCAGCTTAGAAATTGACAATTTTTATTTTAAATGATCTTTAAGTTCAAAATATTATTTATAAAATATAAATTTGCCAACATTTACTGAGCTGTCCAAAGCACTTTAAGTTTTATGAGGACATAGTTGTTGGAATACTAAAACACTTAAGACACTATTGAAAATGACTAAAGAGATAATTATTAACATTGAAAGATGTTAAAATGTGAGTGAAAAACACTGCCAAACAGCAGTAATGCTATAATCCTGTTTTTATAAGCACACGTGTATATTTATATACATTCACAGAAATATATATGACTCTAAACCAAAATCAACTAATGGTTGATTTCTCAGTAGTGCGATAAAGAAGTATCTTTATTTTGCTTAGGGGTACTTGGGTGGCTCAGTCGGGTAGGCGGCTGATTCTTGATTTCAGCTCAGGTCATGATCTCAGGGTCCTGGGATTGAGCCCCGTGTCAGGCTCCTCACTCAGTGGGGAGTCTGCTTGAGAGTCTCTCTCCCTCTCCCTGTGCCCCTCCCCCTGCTCATGCACTCTCTCTCTCTCTCTAAAATAAATAAATCTTGGGGTGCCTGGGTGGCTCAGTTGGTTAAGTGGCTGCCTTCAGCTCAGGTCACGATCCCAGGGTCCTGGGATCGAGTCCCATAGTGGGCTCCCTGCTCAGCGGGGAGTCTGCTTGTCCCTCTGCCCCTCCTCCCCGCTCATGCACGCTCTTTCTCAAAAATAACTGAATAAAATCTTAAAAAAAAAAAAAAGGAACTGGAAAGCAAGATCTAGAGGGCACAGAGTACACACTGTGATCTTCAATTTATGAAGATTAAAACAGAACAAAGAATGAATTACATTTATAGATCACTAAGTGAATTTTTTTTTATTAGAATGTTATTAAAGTGTTGTTTCTAATAAAAACATGTGATAATTACCATTTGGAGTAGTATTCTAAGAGTAGAAAATAGAAAAAATTCCCTTAAAATTCTCTGGCATAGTTAAGAGGTACACAGGCAGAACAGAAAACTATGCAAAAGGTTCTCTTGGTTAAGGATTTCACAGAAAGCAGGATCACGGGGCCACAGGAGAGGGCCCCTGTTTCCTATTACAGTCGTGGCAAGATCAAAGCAAGACCTTACTCTCAATAAATGAGGTCCAGCTGAGTTCAGCACCTCCTGTGTCCCAGGTGTTATTGGAAAGGCTATCTTAGTCCAACTAGTAGAAATAAAGTCCACCTATGAGTCCTTTTGAATTACCTCTCTATTCCCAAGATTATCTTATGGGCTTCTCAGTCACGCAAAAAGGAAATTCTAACTTCGACTTCCCACTTGTTGGCTGAACAGTAAGAACTTACCAAACAGTAAGACCCACCTTCTGAAGACTACGTGCTCTTTAACATCAATAGCCGCTCAGATTCTACGGCTACAAACATAAGTCTTGATTATTTGGAAAGGAACAAAGTTAGAAGTAAATTTTCCTTGAACAATCAGTAAATTAATAAAATTGAAAACTCACCTGAAAACATTTTTACAAAATCATCAGTAGACATACTCATCACCACATCTGCCTGATCAGAGGGCTCTCCATATCCAACATTCCCACCTTTGCTTTTAAGATCAAGAAACCACGTTCCACCATCTTCACCTACACAAAATAGAAAGATATGGAAAAAAATGCCAAAGAAGCCCCGTTCTTCTTAAACTTAGTAACTGCTACAGTTAGAATAATTTTACATAATGCTGTTTTCCAGGTTAAAACCCTCGGGCCTCTATCAAATTCAGTAAATATTTATTAAGTACTTCCGTGCCAGGCACTGGGCTAGGCTCTGAAGACCCTGCAGCAACATGGCTCTTAAACAAGACGAAGTAGAGGGTAATGTGGAGTCAGGCAAGCCCCGTGGAAGATGAGATTGAAAAGTCAGGTAAGAATTAGCCAGATGAGCTGAAAACAGTGTAGGAGGACTGAAGGTAGAAAGAGAATGAAGAGTGGCTGAGATGAGCTCATGAAGCAGCCCAGAGGTAGGGGGTAGTGGGCCATCTGAAAGATTCACTGACTTCATCCTAAGGGATGTGCCATGGAAGAAGAATGACATAAGGCTGGTATTTTAAATAGATCGCCCGAAGAGCACTGTGTTGAATACACTGAGAGGGATAAAGAGGATGCAAAAGGCAAGGTAGGATGGTACTGGGATAGTTTGGGAACTTGAGGATGTGTGCCTGGATCAGGACTGTGGCTGTGGGATTGGGGAGAAACAGGCATATTTGAGAGATAATGTCAAAGCAGAAACACAAGACTCAGTAAATGAATATGATGAGGAAAAGGGATGGAGAGTGCATAAGAAATGATTTGCCAGTTTTTGGCTCAGGAAACCAGGTAAGTATGGATGTATTTTGTACTGAGAGAGGACTACTGAAGAAGAGCAGATTGAACAGGCAGTGTCTGAGCCAGGTGTTGGGAATGGTGAGCTGTTTTAGACATTTTCAGATTGAGGCATCTTTGTGACAACCAAGTGAAAATATCAAATGACGTCTGATGAGGCTAGAAATATAGATACATAAGTAATCACTGCCTACGGTCACTGAAGCCATGTGAGTGACTGAGGTTTCCTAGGGCAAGTCTGTAACTGACGAGGATGATTACAGACAGAGGAGGAAAGCAAGGAGAGCTGCTGTCAGGGAAGCCAAGGACAGGAGCCTTTCCAGAAGGCAAGAGCAGTCAACAACTTCAAATGCCGTAGAGTGGTGACAAGGTAAGAATGACAAAGGCCCACTGATGATATAGAGGTCACCAAGGACCTTGGTAACAGCATAATTCAGCGGAATGGAGAAATACGATACCTGAGTAGAGTGAACTCTAGATGAAAAGAAGTTTGGCTGTGAAAGGGAGAGGAATGGTGGGGGTAAGAAGTGGGGTTAGGGACGTTGTGTTTTGTTTTAAAGATGAAATAGACTTTGAGAATGTTAAATTATCACCGGAAAGCAGGCTGCAGGATACGCAGGTGAGAGAGAGGGCATAATTAATAGCACAAAGTCCCTGAGGAGGCCACAGGAAATGGGATCTACAACTTTGCTACTCAAAGTGCAATCTGTGGACTGCAGTCTGTCAGAAATGCAGAATTCAGACCCTACCTGAGACATGCTGAATCAGACTCTGCATTTTAGCAGGGTCCCAGATGATCGCTATGAACATTAACGCCTGAGATGCATAAATCTAGAGCTAAGCTCTGTTCTACTGGGAAGGAAGAAAGAATGATGCTCAAAACAGCTGATTCGATATCAGAGGACAGGAAGCTGAAGCACTTTGTCTGCCAGTTTCTATTATCTCTGTGAAAGAGGAGGTGGGGTTATCTGCTGAAACTGGCAGGGAAGTGGTGAAGGGAGAGATGGGAGATTTTTGGAGCACTGGGAAGTGTTAAAATAGTCACTGTGGAAAATGAGGCAGGAAGCTGACCACAGAAATACAGAATTCTGAGGCACATTGAGACCCTAGATGAAGAAGGGCGATGATGAATGTCTACTGGTACAGATCTACTGGTAGTGTGATGGGTTTTTTCCATTTCCCCAGGAGGACAGAGCCAGCCTGGATGCAACTGTGGGACAGTCAGATAGTGTGATTCATCCAGGACTAGGCTTTTGACAGGTGGTGACATAAGCACAAAAAGGCCAGGAAATTTAGGGTACAGGCAAGAGAGTGATTAAAGCAATGGACCATGGGCTCTAAGGAGAAAAAAGGAAGAAGAGAGGAAACAGAGGAGACAGAGGAAAAAACTGATAATGTCAAAGTTTGCATTCAATGGGACTGAAGTAGCTAGTTCTTAAAGCTATCAATATGTGTTAATACTATGTTGAGAAGAAAAATACTGGTAAGTTTGAAAACGCTGACTACATGCAGACTGACTTGAATAATTTCAGCTGACTACATGCAGACTGACTTGATTAATTTCAAAGATAAAAATGGCAAGGTGCTGTGGCTGATGATACACTACTGTATTACACCACCTGTCATGATCCATATGCCCTCCTAAGTAGGATTTTCTCTCAACTACATATGCCAAGAATTTATTTTACACTGGAAGTCTATGTAATGAGATTTTACATTACATGTGTCCATATGCACTGAGATTAACTTAAAAATACAAATCAGTAGTTACTTGCTATTCTTGAATGTCTACATTCTAGGGTTAAGGGTTCTGGATACAGCCAACTATCAAGGTGATTGCTACTGGAAGCTGATTTTCTTCTGAGGGAAATATCCTACTTTATTTCATAAAAGCGCCACATTCCCAGATATCTTCCTTACCTGAGAGCTCAAACTGATAAATTGCTTGAGTGGCTTTAACAACGTCATCACTGAGAGAGTCCTTAACAATTCTAAATGTTTCTGCCACAGCTCCAGAACGTGGTTTTGGTGGTGGCTGTGACTTCTCTTCTTTCAATTCCGGAAGAACATCTGTAAAATATTATTGATATAAATGGTTTGAAAGCCTAAGCAGTATAAGGCCACACACAGAATTAATTAATTAGCAGAAAAGACTTGCCACCAAGTAGACTTGTTTGACAAAAATGACTTTAAATACATTTGGTGACATCAAAAAGCATAAATCAAATTGATGGAATAACATCCAAACACATTCGTTATGATTATAAATGTAAATGGTTTATACTCTCCAAGTAAAAGGCTGACTCTCAGATTAGGTTAAAAAAAATCCAAACCACTACTAAACTATAGTGGCCTTTTTGTTTGTTTTTAAACAGACCTAAACACACTTTTAGGAGTAATAATTAATCACTCCTTTATTACCCCCTCCGAGTTCTAAAACCAAATGAGAAAAGAAGACACTGGAGATCAGAACATCAACCATGTAAATCAATGGAGCTGAATTGCAGATTGTAGCTTGAATCAACAATCAAGTGAACTTCCTGATAACTTTGCCTCTAAACTAAACTTAGTTCCTTCATGCCTGGATTGAACCTGCTTCCTCCCATCAGGGCTTAGAAATGCCTCTGAAAGTAAAGATCATGTGAAGAACAGGGAAAACCTGCTCAGAAAGAAAGAACCTTCACAGCGGTCTAAACCACACAAAGTCATTTCCTCTTCCAATTTCATCAGCCTGGTGGTTCCTCCCACTGGATGAAGAGGGAGGTGAGACTATCAGCCTCACAAAAGCCGCCCGCCCCCCGCCCTCCCACCCAAGAAACACAAGGCCAGGGGAATGGAGGTTACAGTATTTTTAAACTTGTATCCACTTAACCCACTGGCCATAACCATTCAGCACATAATGTGCCAGTGGATCTGCAGTCCATAGGACGATTCCCATAGCATGAAGCTGTCCCTCAATACCAACCTCTGTTCCTTTATTCTCCTCTGGGAATCACTTGTGGGTAGTTTGGCAGTTGCCCCAGAAACAAGTTGAGAACAATTCATTAATTAAATTAACTCCAAGGCCAATCTGTGCCCTAGACTGAAATTTAACTCTCCATCTTCTTCCCAACTCAAATTATACCCAGCCATATTGTCCAATATAACTCACCAAAGGTTATTAAATAAAATCTAATTGATAGCATAAAGATACTCCATGGTACAACAGAAGCAATATAAAAGTATCCCAAATTTGCTGGATATAAATTACCTTTCACTATGATGAGTCCAGAGACAGACAAAAACAACAATAAAATCCTTCTCTTCTTACAAGTTAAAATCCAAACAGATACTAAAGATGAAATCCTCAAGATCCAATGAAGCAAAGAAGATACACACTTTTTAAAAAACTTGGAGTCAGTTTGTTATTATTTTTAAATTCATTACAGATAGTGCACCCCTTTACTGCCTACACCCAGAGAAAACTACCCTGACTGCCTTGCCCTTGGCATCGTGCTGCTTTTTATTGATGGACGACATGTATGAACAATGACCATAAGTATACAGCTCAAAAAGTTCTCAGAAGAATTGGGGGATGGGTAGAAAGGGTAAAGGGGAGTGAAAGGTACAGGCTTTTCAGTTATGGAATGAGTAAGTCACAGGGATAAAAGGTACAACATAAGGAATACCGTCAATGCTATTGTAATAACGCTGTATGGTGACATACGGTGGCTACACTTGTGGTGAGCACAGCTTAACATACAGAGTTGTCCAATCACTGTTGTACACCTGAAACTAATGTAATACTCTGTGTCAACTATACTTCAATAAATTTTTAAGAAGTTATCAATAAGTGAATATACCGTGTCATCATCACCTACGTCAAGGAAGAGGGCATAACCAGTCCCCCAGAAGCCTGTGGTGTCAAGGAGACCACAGCAAAAACTTCAGTGTAAAGTTTTTTATGTAAATTGCATAATTTATCACCTGGAATATTTAGACATGGCGTGATGACTCTGCACAAGAGAATAAAACTGCAGAAGACAAAAAACAAATCGGTAGTATATTTGAAAGGTACAGTCAATAGACTACAAATGTAAGCTTCACTGAGAAAGAACATTTCAGTAACAACAAAAAAAGATACATGGCTAGCAGCCCCTGTCATAGCCTCTCCTCACTTCACACTTAAATAAATATAAACATGTGAACAAATACTAAACATCACCTAGACTCACAATCTACTGTCAGAGTCTAGGTAGACTGTTCAGTAACTCCAAGAGACAGAGTCAGCCTAAGAACACAGGAATGCCTATGCTTTGCTTCCTGAAAGATCTCAGAGAAAGAATAGCTCTGCTCACCTAAACAAGGAAGATAGGTTTGCACATTTTTAAAACACTGGACCAGACTCTGGGCTTGTGCCAGCTAGAAGACTAGGATCTGTCCCTCTGTTCTATAATGCCACCTTTTAAGAATGCCTCCATCTTTCAAATCCAATTTCAAAGCTTGTAGTTTCCAAATACCAGAGGAGCAGACAGTAGAGGGAGCCTTGATAGTGGTTCATCCTGCAAAGTACATGCCTCAAAGCATTACGGATAAAAATGGGGAGGGCAAGGGCGCCTGGGTGGCTCAGTTGGTTAAGCGACTGCCTTCGGCTCAGGTCATGATCCTGGAGTCCTGGGATCGAGTCCCACATCGGGGTCCCTGCTCAGCAGGGAGTCTGCTTCTCCCTCTGACCCTCTTCCCTCTCGTGCTCTCTATCTCTCATTCTCTCTCTCTCAAATAAATAAATAAAATCTTAAAAAAAAAAAAAAAATGGGGAGGGCAAGAACCCCGGGAGCAGGGCATGCAGGGGATGGTGGGAAGTAAGAGAAGGTCCCATGTCAGTCTTGCACACTGGCACTAGCTATATGCCTAACAGGTACCACAACAGAAGGTACAGCTTTGAGAAAGGAATTCCACCAGATGGACAAGGAGTGGAGCCAAAAGCAATCTACGCATCTCTGTCATCCGGCTCTGCTAGCTCTAGAAATAGCTCTTAATACGAAGACGAATTAACAGGGGGAAGAAAATAACCTGATGCCTATGAAAAACAATGTACCACAAGGTAAAGGAAAATTATCCTGAAGAGAAAACAACCTATCTCTAAAAATAATTTACTATGAAACTCACAAGGATTCCTCCACATGAAAACTCTCTGAAACAGGGGCAGAGAGTCATATATAACTGGCTGGGGTGAAAAGCCAATGAAATAAAATGAAAAAGGAAATAGGGAACATGAGAAACAAAATGTACAACAGCAAAACTGAAATAAACATTATAGGCCATAGGGAAGAGATGAAAGTGGCAAAAGTCTTTTTTTAGTGGAGGCTCCACGCCCAACATGGAGCTTCAACTTACAATACCAAGATCAAGAGTCACGTGCTCTACTGAGCCAGCCCAGCGCCCTGTCTTATCAGTAGAGTTCAAACTTGAAAAGGTCTCCCAGAACACACAAGGAAAGACCCGTAAGATAGAAATAAGAAAAGATGGTGACAACCACAGGGTAAAGGAAACGGAGAGCCAGGCTAAGAATAAGTGTTTCTGGGGAGAATCCAGAACAACTGTAACAGAAGCAATTAAAACTAGAACTAAAGAAAAACAACAACAACAATAAACTGAACCAACAAATAAGAATCCGTGGGCTCCCTGCGTTGCAATGGGGTGGTGCCAGGAGGGAAGATCAATGAAGACACGACAGTATTGTTTTTAATATGAGAAAAACAATGAATTTAAACTTTGTGCACAGTTTATACTTCACAGTTACAAATACATTATATAAAACAAATACACACAGCACAAATAGCCAGAAAAGGTGCAATCAAATAGGATTATTAAATAGAAAGGTGAGCCGTTCCCACTTGAGAAATGAGGGATTACACGCAGACCTCAGAGAAAGTGTGAAGTCAACATACAGTGGATGTGGATATGGACTAAAAAATCACCTGAAAGAGATGTAAGATCCCAGGCCAGATATACTGGACTATTACCTATATGAATATATTAATATACCTACAGAAAATATTGACTAGAATTGCAATGAACGAGGAAGAATAGGGACAAGAGAGCTACAGTAGCAAATGCTCTCTCCAGCATCATATGGGGAAGAGAAGCTTTAACCAAAGGAATGTGAGTATTGTGACCTCAAGGATGAGGGCATCCCCCATGTGGAGATGGATATATGGATTGCAGTCAACGCACCTGACATATTCTGATCCCAAAGGCAAAATCACTCCTACTGAAATCTGATGCTAATAAACATTTATCTTACATTTTACTTATTTAACCTCTCTTGTTCTGATTCCATGGTCATGAAACAACCTTCTGATTATGATTCTGTTCCCTACATCATTATGACCCAAGGGAGAGAATGGGCTGATCACAGCAACTACACACTAGTCCATGAGATGGCAACTCCTCGTTACAAATTAATAAATTGGATTACTGGGGGGAAATATCCTAATTTAAAGGACTTTAAGGTATTCGGGAGTTAGAAAAGCAATTTAAATCTACTGGTTAAGGTTATGGGCTTCGCAATCGGAGAACTATGAATTTAAATCCTGGTTCTGCCACCTGCATGATCTCAGATGTAAAATGAAGATAATAATACTTGACTTGTAGGCTCATAAGTGTTAAATGAGACAATGAATGCAAAGGACTTAGCACAGTGTTTGATACATAGTAGTGCCCAATAAATATCTGTTGAAAAACAAAATGAATATATGTGATCGATAAGTGGTTCTTATTAATTTAAATTTGGAATTTAAATGAGCTCAGATCCAATGTTAAGGTGATGAGCAAAAATCAGGATTTTGCTCTTGCCTAACCTGAAGACTAGACTCTTTCAGACTTTGATAAGCTGTATATTTTTCAAGTTTTTTATGATACAAAAGAAAAGTTGCCATTTTTATTAAGTAATTTCTTAAACTATCTCCAAAAATTCAGACAAGGAAAAGATAAAGCTAGAAAAGAGTAAGCCAGAAAAAAGGTTGGCTCTAAAATGCACTGTGGTATAAGGTTCTATAAATCCGCTACGAAGGTACAGAGGAAATTTTTTCTTAAGTTTTCTAGCAGCCATCTAAAGAATCTGTGATCACTTAGGAGATTCACAGTCTCTACAAGATAAAAATAAGGTAAGGGCCCAGGAGAAGCACAGCTATTCTTGTTAATAAAGCATGAAAGAGATTCTTCTCATGGGTATTTGTTAAAGAGTGTTTCTTCTGACATCTTTCAGTAAGCTAGTGGCATAACATCAAACACAAAGACTGAACTCTGGACCAATTATAAAAACAAAATAAAGTAAAACCAAAACCTCCTTTGAAGTTAATTTCTCCCATAAAGTAGTCACACAGCACAAACTCTGAGAATGGTATTAAGTGTACTTCGATGTGACACATTTTTCCTCAAAATAAAATAATACATCAACATGAAATACCTAAAGACAGTGCCAAGGAAAAGAAATAAAACCTTAAAAAGGGTTTGTTTTCTTTTTAAATAATCAAATGAAAAGAATCTATTAATAACTTCTTACTGGTAGAAGGAAAAGACAACCTTCCTTGCTTGAATTAACTAAGCCCACATATACTTGTCTAGTTTAAATTACAAAATGGTTTAAAAGCATAAGGCAGAAATGTCCAATTTTATATTCTGAAAGAAATACATACTTAGCATCTTTATTTTCCTACATAAAATATGGTCTATGTCTTACCATGTGATTCCATTTTCTTGGTAATTGTATCTGGGTGTTCATCTAAGAAGAAATCTGGTATCAAAGGATGGCCTGGAAAATTGACCCCAAAAATACTCAGGTTACTATGACAACGTCAATACATTAGATTTTAACACCTGTTTAATGAACATTGTATCTGTTTTTATTGTAATGATTATTCTAGTGCAATGGAAAAGACTCCCGTGAGAACTGTCAAACTACTTGACCTTCACGAAGCTAAAATACTTTTCCCATCACCAAGTTATCCTCCTCTCCTATGGCAAATTTCATCTCTAAGATCCAATCACAGAGCCACCTGTTACGTTAAGCCCTCACCTGCTCTCCCAGGAGGCTTTGCCCCCTCCTCATCTATCCATGCAACCCTCTGTCCTATATCCCTCCAAAGTGCTCAGGACTCATTTCTGGCCCCCTGAGAGAAGGGGGTTCCTCATTAAGAAGGACTTGTTTCCCATCTCTATCTGTCTCTCCCTCTCAGAAGATTAAAAAAAAAACTGGAGGTCAGGAATGCATTGGTCTTTGTTATATCCTAATGCTTATCAAAGCATTCATCTTATGTCCTCTACACTTGATAGGATTTTTAATCTTAAATTTAAGATTTTGTGCACAATGACACTGTGTCTTTAAAACCTAAAGTGATAATTACACTGTCTCAGGACCCAGAAGACCTGCATCTTGTGCAGGTTCTGCCATTTATTAGCTGACTGCTCTTACGCAAAGACTAATCTCTTTGAGCCTGTTTTTTCTACTGTAAATATTAACTACTGAGTACTGCGATTGTGTCATATGCTGGGCACTGTGCCAAGCACATTATACACATTATTGCATTTCGTTCTTAAAAAAATCCTGTATGGAAGCTATTATTCCCTTAATTTTACCAGTAAGGAAAGTGACGCTCAGAGAAAGTGGGTGACGTGCCAGAGGTCACATAGCTTGTGAGCAGCTGAGCTGGAATCTGAACCTGGCTTATCTTCTCCCAAACTCCATGCTCTTAATCCCTAAACAACACTGCTTCCCTCACAGGATTGCTATGAGGGTTAAATAGATAATGTATATAAAACTGCTTTGTAAAACCATAAAGAGCTATTTAATTCAGTTCAAACTGAAAAGACAGGGATGACACAAATATAAACATGTGGAAGCACAACCTAATGAATAGTATTTAGAAACACACTTTTGACCCAATAAATAGAACTCCTGCTTACGCCTATATTGTCTATTATTTAATATAGATTATGTTTCATACATAAAGTAAAAATGCCTGATCATCACCATCATGACTGCAATTTCAGAGAGGAAGAATGATTTTTGAACAAGGGGGCCATCTGAGAACTTCTCAAATCATACTCTTGTACAAAGGGCAGACTGTGTTCACTTGCCTTCACCATCCATCAGTAAGCTAGCTACTCTAAGAGACTGCACTTAAGAGAAAAACATTTGGAAAGAGTCCATATTCCTAAAAAGTTTTCATAGAAAATGGACTCCTATATCACCTATTACCACATCCTTGAATAGTCTTTACTCTGTGATTTTAAGATCAACTTTAAAAACCAATTTTCATTTTTAGTTTCAAGATTTGGAAATGGCTAATAGCTGATGTGCCTTCTGTATCTGTACATCCCTGTAAAGTCCTCAATTCACTTCCATTTTTCCTTTCTCTCTTTTTGAAGTTGTGCTGGTATGGTATTCCCCTTCGTTGGGAGGATAGCTTTTAAAATACATCACTACTTTTAAAAACTGGAAGCATTACCTGGCTTAATTGCATAGATGTCAAAATTTTTTATTCCTTCTTCTCTTAAGATATTTTCATCAATAATAAAGTTTCCAGTAAAACTTTTTGGCTTTTTAAAAATGGAATAGGCAGCATCTGCAATGATATCAACTTTTCTACACTGGCTTTCAATACCAGATCCTCCCAGCATATCCATAGCAGCGGTGTGGATGGCTGTGGAGAGAACACACACAGAGAACTCCAAATGAAACAGGAGGACTGTGGAAGTAACAAACAAGACAGCTGATCACTTTACTTCACAGGTGATGAAAACAAGATCCAGAAAGCTTAAGGGATTTGCCAAATGTTCTGACATGACTGGATAGAATACACATTCCTTACTCTACACAACACTGCCTCATAAAATAGAACTCCTTTGTGAGACTCACTGCAAAATTCAATTAGACTTCTGACTTAGAATGCTCAGGAATTTGCATACGAGTCTTGAAAGTTAAGAAAGCCAGGAAGGTGTAACAGAAAAAGCACTGAGCAGTAAGGCAGGTGAGCAGGATTTTTATGCCAACTATGTTGTGCTTTTTGGCAAGTGACTTTAACCTCTATGGGCCTCAGTTTCCTGTCTCTAAATATGGAGCTCATTCCCTAAATTTATTGTCTCACCCCTCTATTAAAATATAGGGGCAGAGGCACCTGGGTGGCTCAGTCATCAAGCGGCTGCCTTTGGCTCAGGTCATGATCCCAGGGTCCTGGGATCAAGCCCCACATCAGGCTCCCTGCTCCACAGGAAGCCTGCTTCTCCCTCTCCCTCTGCCCCTGCTTGTGTTCTCTCTCTTGCTGTGTCTCTGTCAAATAAATAAATAAATAAAATCTTAAAAAAAAAAAAAAAAAAAGAATATAGGGGCAGAGGAAGAGGGAGAAGCAGACTCCCTGCTAAGCAGGGGGGCCCATGCAGGGCTCCATTCCAGGACCCTGGGATCATGACCTGAGCCGAAGGCAGACACTTCACTGACTGAGCCACCCAGGCACCCTTGTTTTAGGTGCATGTGATTTTTAAATTCTATGGTTTTTTTAAATGAAGTAACCTGAAATTCTACCATTCATAGTACACTATTAATTATACATTGTCAAAGTTGTGAACAGTAACTTATCTCAATTTACTTATATTTTAGCTTATCTTTTGAACAATGAAAGTCAACTTAAGTACTTTAGGTTTCAGTCTCTAGTAATTTAAAGTTCTCTCCATACCACTGTTAAACCATCATTTTAAATCATTACATACTGGAATAAATTACATAATTCAGTCCACACGATGAAAAGTTTATAGCTTTTAAGAGCCACTGACCCCTTTCCATTCATTCAACACATAGTGATAGAGTACTTACTATAAGTCAGGCATTATTGTAGGGATTGGGAACAAATGAGTTGATAAACAGACAAAAGCCCCTACCTTCATGGTGATTACATTCCAGCATACATCCCTACTTCAAAGATAGCACAATTAACTTGGGGAATTTCCTAAAAGCACTAAGTTAGAAAATATGTCCCTACCTTATAACTACAGTTCCTCTACTAGGAAGAAATTTTTTTGCTTAACCAAGTTCAAGAGCTCTGGTTTTGCTCTTGATGTGATACCTTATTAATAAAAAATGGCAGCTAATATTTATCAAGTGCGCCCTCTGCTGGGCATGTTGCTACATACTTCACATAAGTTATCTGAATGAATTCTATGAGGTAGGTACTGTTATCATTCTCATTTTACAGAAGAGAGCACTCATGCACGGAGCGGTTAAGTAACTTGTCCAAGATTACAGGAGCTAGAATTCAAACACCTGACAGCTTGACTTGACTTCAGAGCCAGGATCTTAACCACCATGAAACTAAAGGGCACTCTTAGAGTTCAGTTATCTCGCTTCCGTAAACTGTAGAATTTTTCTTTTTCTTTTTGAGAGATAGAGAGAGCAAGTGCACATGCACACAGGCGGGGGGAAGGGGAAAGGGACAGGGAGAGAGAGAATCCCAAGCAGGCTCCATGCCCAGCGCAGAGCCTGACATGGGCCCTGATCTCAGGACCCTGAGGTCATGACCCAAGCTGAAACCAAGAGGTGGACACTTAACCGACTGAGCCACCCAGGCACTCGAACCGTAGAATTTTTCTAAAAATATTTCAATATAGGGGCACCTGGCTGGCTCAATCAGGAGGGCATGCGACTCTTGATCTCTGGGTCATGAGTTCGAGCCCCATGTTCAGTGCACAGATACTTAAAATAAATAAACTTTTGGGGTGCCTGGGTGGTTCAGTCAGTTAAGCAGTTGCCTTTGGCTTGGGTCATCAAGCCCTGCGTTGGGCTCTCTGCTCAGTGGGGAGCCTGCTTCCCCCTCTCCCTCTGCCCCTCCTCCAGCTTGTACTGTCTCACTCTCTTAAATGAATAAAAAATCTAAAAAAATAAACTTTAAAAAAAGATTTCAATACAGTGCACCTTAAAACTATATGCATATGTATATACTTAGTCTCATTATAGACTACATGAATGGTGTAAGAATTCTTAAAACTCTAAATTAAGAAGATGTCATGGATGTATACACGTATTGTGTGTGTTCATAAGTATAGACACATATACATAACCTAAGAACAATGAATGATTTCCCCAAACCTATCTTTACTTCAGTAATCTTTCTATGGAAGATACGAAGAAGGCATAGATGCTCAAAATCAAGAAATAAGCCAGAGTTATTTTCAACAAAGGTTTTGCAATGTCATAGGCTACCCTAATAGGTTATAAAACTGACAATAAAAGCAGGTTCACAATAGGATACATCAAATGAAAATTCACTGATGAATAAGCAAAAATAAGCAAAAATTTTAAAGAAACCTGATATGCCTTGGATCACAAAAATCCTAAAGGTAACCCTTAAACTTAAGTATTATTAAGGAATAATTGGAGAAGTATCTAATAGCTTTCAACTGATTCTCCTGATTGCAGACTGCACAAAACACAAAAACAGTAAGAAGAGCCTTAAAATCAAGCTAAGAGGGGCGCCTGGGTGGCTCAGTTGGTTGAGCATCTGCCTTCAGCTCAGGTCATGATCTCAGGGTCCTGGTGCCGGACTCCCTGCTCAGTGGGGAGTCTGCTTCTCCCTCCTTCCTCTGCAACCCCCATGCTCTCTCTCTCTTCTCAAATAAATAAAATCTTTTTAAAAAATCCACCAAAGATGTCCTTTTCACACAAACATATAGAGTACATATCAGACTTAAGACATCAGCATTGTCTTTGACTCCGCCTCCTCTGGAAAGAAAGCTTGTCTCACCTCTTTAACAACTGTCAGCCCCCAAACACACACACATATTCTTTGTGTACTCACTGAACCAAAGATATCATTGATTATAAAGTGTACCGCTGAGAAAAAAGAACATGTGCCAAATTAAACTATGGTACATCATCAATAGTAAGAGCATCCTGATATCCAAGATGTAAAAATGTGAAAACATGGGCATCTCAGAATCAGTGAAATATAGATGAACTGTTATTTGAACAAGTTGGTAAGCAAGTGGCTTAAAAAAACAGGGAAACTAGTTTTGGTTTCTAGCACCAGGGAGACCAGCTATTACCTCATTTCCCTGAGCTCCCTGGTCAGCTGAGTCCCCGTGTCTATTTGTAGTGTGGTCCATGTGACAGAGGACTGCAGCTGCTCTGTGACACTTCTGCTATTGTCGTCTCCGCTGCCAGAACCACCATCAGCAGCTGCGTTCACAGGCTCTGCAACCCAGCCTCCGTGAGTTCTCTCTCCAAGTGGACTCCCCCCCTCTACCACGCTCATTCTGAATGCTCAAGAGGTAAGAGGCAGCAGGCATTCTGAACAGCAGGCCACCCACCTCCTCGCCCTCCATTTTGGCAGAAACTATGAAGGCAGTCTTGTAAAAAGAAAAACTTACACTTCTGAAGCTGACATAGCTGGGGTTTGAGATCCTCATGTTATTAAACTACTAAGGCCTGTTCTCTGACCACTCCTCTGGATGGGTTGAATTCAATGGGGTGAAAAGTTCTAAATCCAGACAGGAAAATGTAGCCAGTGTACAGAATGAACACTGAACCAGAGAGGACAAAGAGTGGACCAGGACACTGTTCTGATCGTGGTTAATATAGGTTACACTGTGTCCATTCCATTAAGTGCAATAAATCTCCTTTTCCTTGAAGGGAATAATGTCGGGAGATTACTGGTTCCAGCAAGCATAAAGAGCTGCTCTATACAGTCTAGGAAGAGAAAACCTGTTTTATTTTTTTAAATAGAAGCCTCACAAAGAGCCAGGAGCCTGGACACCCTCTAGAATCCATTTTCTTGCCTGAGTCATGAATAATGCAATATCCTAGCTAGCTTTCCTGCCTCCTCTCTCCACGATCTCACAAGCCATCCTACACTCAGATGCCAAATTAAACTTCTTAAACCTCATCAGCAACCCTATCACTCCACTGCTCCGATTTTTTCCTCTGCTCTCCTGCTTCTAAAATTCTGAAGTGGCTCTGTACTGAATACAAGTTAAAATTCAAGCTCCTAAACTTGGGCAATCAAGACCTGGGGCTTAGTCATCCACCTCCCCACAACAACCTCACACCTACCCAACATTCCAGACAATTGCTCAAGTTGTACTCATGTACTCATTGTGTCATGTACTGCAAGGAACAGGACTGTAAATTCAGTTTACTGTGCCATCAAGTCTAGGCCCCAAATAATACCAATGGCTCCAAGATGTCTAGTAAAACTTCTAAAATGAGTATCTCAGAGCTAAAGCAAAGACGTTGGAAGTGAACTGATTTCACTTGTCAATCCTGGTAGTGTCCTCCACATTCGCTGTCATGTAATGTTCTGTTCAGAATGTCTAATTTGGAGCTAGGCAGAATGTAATCATACTGTACATTCATTAATTCATCAAATATTTACTGAATGTCTACAAGGACTACAATAAAATGAACAAAGCAGATACTGTCTCTACCTTTAAGAAACTTTCTAGCAAGGAAGACATTAGCCAAGTTATAAAATCAATAGTTTAATTACAAATGTTGTTAAGTAATGTGAAGGAGATGTACAGACTACTAAATCCAACGGTCAGTCCCCATTTTGTAAGAACTATCAGCAACATTTGACACAGTGAATCACTCCTTCTTCCTTGAAACATGTTCTTCAAGTGGCTTTCAGGATATCATACTCTAATTTTCTTCCTA